GGGGGGGAGGAGGGGGGAGATGAGAGCGAAGACTCCTTAACCCTCATCCGCGCGTTGTCATGAGGGTGAAATTTGACGGACCGACGGATAACGGAGCGGGCGTTTTGGCCTGTTATTGTCGATCACTTTCTCGATCATTCTTAGCGCAGCTGATAACACGATTGTTGCGAGAGCTTAATGAACGATAGTGTTAGAGAAAGACGTAAAAGTTTGGAAGAAATACAAACGCGCTTGCTTTGTTGATAGCAAAAAATAGACGAAAAAAAAGTAATTTCAAGAATTAAAAAGAGAGTTCTTAGAACTAAGAAAAAAAAGGTTGAAAAGATCCGTCGAAATCTTGATTTATCCTTCGATCCTTCAATAATAAATTTCTTTCATCGTAGCAAGAAAGGAGAGACCAAAATAAAGATAGAAAAATCATAATATCAATTCGTCTCGCTTAATCTTTTGAAACGCGAATCCCCACACTATCATATTCTTGTAATTATTTGAAATTTTATATCGTGACGAATGAGCAATTTAATGATAAAGTTTGTCTGCGACGATGACGTCGAGCAAAGCGGAAGTCGAAAGGCAGGTTTTCCGCTGATCGCGGCGTAATCAGAGTCACAAGGAGGAAGGTCGCGATAATCTCGACCCCATAATTCGCATATTCCTGTGAGGAGAGAACGCGTAGGGGGAAAGAAGAGGGGATGAGAGAAAAGTTGGAGGTGTCAGATTTTTACGAGCACCTGTTCACCATTTTCCCTCCGCGAGGAGGGCTCGCATCGTCAGGTAGACACGCGGGGCTCGTGGGGCCCCCGCGCGTAAAGGTACCCCTATCGACTTGGAAACCTGTTCTCCCTTCTCTCTCTCTCGTCCATCCGACCCTTCCGCGGCCCCCGGGCCACTCCGCCGCTGGCCGGCGGGAGCGATGGAAATGAAAAATTAGGCCGTTGTCGGGACCTCGCCTCCTTCGGAACTCGTCTCCTCCCCCGTCCTCCTCCACCGTGCCGCGCGCGCTGACTTTTTCGTCACCGTCATTTATTTATCGCACGCCGACACGTACGTACGGGGTGTTTGTAAAACACGCGGCCAGATTTCTACGGTGCAGTCGAGTAGATGAGGAAAGTTCCTAGCAGCTAACGTCCAGAAGAGCTTCGTTAAAACATTACTCAAGACTTTTCGCTAATTTCCAGTTTTTCATAAATGTGCAAAGTATCCCAAATTAATTTACGTTTAAAGCTTAACTTCCGAAAATTTTTTCATATTTAATTGCTCGACTGTTGCTCGATTTCTTCTCGTTTCCGTTAGAGAAGAATCCACTCCAATATAATAAAAAAAATGTACAGACAAAAGCAATTTCGAGAAGTCTGCGACAATTTATGTATTAAAAAAGGATTCACATTTAAAGGCGTTTCTTATTCGAGAAGATCACCACTAATTATGTCTTACATTATTACATCATCGATAATCACGCTTAATGATTTACTTGTAGGCATGCAATAGAAGATAGATAATAATTCCGTATGTTACACGTTTACAAATAATTCCAATCTAAGATTTTAACTCGAAACAATCCACTAAAATATTCCATTACACGCGTTGCTATACAGAAGTTTGCGAAAGAGTATCAGTAGCTGATAATAATTCGCGCTATCGGCGTTACACCACGTGTATTCCTCCGAACACGGTGTATACCATGCTGTGGATTGACAGGTTATTGGCGGTTAGTCGTTATTGCACGCGTGCACGCAGCTACGATGGGGCGAGTACGCGATTCTCCGAGTCTGCGTAAGCGCGCGCGTGGGCACGCATGACCGAGCGCACGCGAGGGCGCGTCAAGGATTGTGATTAACTTTATACTTGTATCTCGACTGTAACATCGTATAGCTATTTTCCCTGTGAAAATTGTGCGCGCGATATTCATTATACTCGCGCTCATACACGCCGTAGTGTTTTGTTTGCACGAAGCGATAGACGTAGTCGGAAATTAATCTTGGGCGGCGCCGAACTTTTACTCTGTGGATGCAATAAATTCAATTCCGTGCTACGTTGCGTTACATTTATTAGAGTACACAGATTAGCGTACGTTTGTCCCAAAGATACATGTCTACAGCTGCAAAATAATTAATTGGAATTGATACTTTATTCAATGAGACGCTAGATGCGAACGATTCAATCGATCGTGACTGCTTACTCCAGATTTCATCGCACATCTTCTTCTCGCGTTATTCTTTAAAATTAGTCGTTTGCCACGAATGTAAAACCGATCTTTTTTTACATTATTTATATATTGATCAATCCTCCGGACGTCTAAGTGCGGTGTACTTATGCGGTAACTTGAGAAATTATTGGAAAAAAGTAGAAAAAATTTATACAAGCAATATAATTCGGAACGTTAACCAAACGTAATCCGTTTACCGATAAAATTGAAAAATTGCAGCGTTAAAGAGGGTCAAACCGACGGGTCTCAAGACCGGATATATCGACCTTACGACGATTGCCGCGCGCACACCCTTAGGTGCGTCTCTCGATCTCTCTCTCTCTCTTTCTCTCTCTCTCTCTCGCCCTGTGTACCTAAGAGACTACATTATGCTTGCCGACCTGTTGCTACCCTTTCCTACCTCTCGCACCCTTCCACTGTTCCTTCCGACCTAATCCACCCGCCGCTATGAAACGGAACCCCCTCTCCCTCTTCCTCTCCTCCTTCACCTCTTTCTCCTTCTCCCCGTGTGTTACTCTTCATGTTTCTGCCCGATCAGCTCATTGAAGCCGCTCTATATTCTTCGTTGCGGCCTCCTCTCTGTTTTACTAATCATCTTTTCCCTTTTCCGATTTTTTTCAAGCTTGTTGAATTATTTTGTGCCTGATCAACTCTCTAGTCTAGGAAATACTACAATACTATCGCGTTATCGTTCTACGACACACATCGATACCTTCGATTCGATCATTTAAGAGTATAAGTAATTTCTCACTCGTGCATCGCGCCGATATCGCCGGCAACGTTATTTTCTACCGCAGACTCTAAACGAAGATTTATAGGCACGAACGTTTGCCGCACGTGCATCTACGGGGTGTCCCAAAACGGCTATAGTATCAATAATAAATTTGGAGTCGATCTATTTTTCCTTCTTTAATTGGAATGTCGAAGCGGCAACGATCTTTTCGTGAAAATCCTTGTTATCTTACGATTAAAGTCAGCGAGAATCTGCGACTGAAATTAAGATCGCGAGATCCTCCTCGATGCTTTTCATACGCGCGCTCGTCTATTATTGAAATTAATGTCATGTGTTTTTTTTTTATACTCTGATTACAGTCTCGGGAGGGGGTGGTTCGATGTTCCCTCCCGTGGCCCAAGGTGGGGCCGGGGATCGTCCCGTGGGGGACACGGTGGCACGGGCACAGCAGACGACCGGCCCCGCTACGACGACCCTATGGCCTTTAGCACCTGCGCAGCCCAATCAACTTTCAAATCAACAGTTCCAGGGCATACCACCCCTGGCAGCTACGCCTGCGCCCGCACACAATCAAGGTTCGCATTAGATTATACGCAGGATAAAATAAGATATCGTAATCATGCTTTAAATTGAAAGCTTCGCATTATTTTACTTCGAGAGTTGGAATTTTGGCGATATTAGATGATACAGGCGTATTGCTGTGTTTCGTCAAAGAGAGCGGAGTCCATCCTCCTTCTTATCGTCAAATAAACTAATCATTTTAAAGAAATTATTTATTGTACTCTATATTTTCTCTCGCGGCGGAGGTAAAAATTCGGGAAGCTGGGAAAGGATTTAAGAGTTCGAGTTTGTCCGAATTTGAATATTTCTCCCAAATATATTGTGAGGGATTTTACTTGTTTCCATTTACGTAAGGCATATTTATTCACTATATTGCAGTATTATGTGGATCGAATGTTTAGATGATCTAATTAAAATCGACTGTAATTACGGAGTTATTTAATGTTGATGTAAAAACTGCAATAAATGTTTATTTTGATTTTAATCTATTTTTTAATCCTTTCTTCATGATATTTAATATCGAACATTCGTAAAAATACAAAAACACTGTAGTGTATTCAATTGAATTTTTGTCAAAGTTTATTTCTAAAATCTACAAAAATACCACTGTAATTCACGGAAACGAATTTCTCAACACATTCAGTGGTATTGGCATATATATGTGTTATGTAATATTCACTATTGATCGGTCGTTTACACTTGACGTGTATCACGCATATCGAGCTGTATCCATTCTCGAATTCAAGGTGTACGAGAGCGTTTTTGTCAGCCGAAATAGCTCAGTTGGGAGAGCGTTAGACTGAAGATCTAAATGTCCCCGGTTCAATCCCGGGTTTCGGCAAAATCTTTTTTTTTTCCATCTTCAACATGATATTTAAAAACACACAACGAATGCTACATTTTATCGTTTTACGTAATCTTATCAATTTCAAGATATTGATTTTTTTCATTATCAAGTTAGCACGCATTTATCACAGTTTAGCATAATTAAGGATTGCATTTTTTTAATATCAATTACTGCGTTTAATTAAATGAGTGATTACTATCTATTGAAAACTGGAAAAATTTTTATTATTATTTATATTGCTTATTTCGCAAATAACTTCGCTTTTAAAATGTTATAAATCTCGATAACATGCGGATATAAACGTTATGAAGTATTTAAATATTTAGATTGAAATAACAAGATTTTCATATATATAACTAGACGCCCCGCTTTCAAAATAAGTGATTTATATATTGAATGAAGAAAATTCTAAAATATTTAATCTCTTTGAAATGATCGATTTTACAAATAAACAATAATTTTATGATGAATCTTATATCGCGTGTATTATGTATTTTGGAATATTTTAATTTTCGATCAGCGATTTCTCTCTCGGTTATAACGCATTTTTCATGGTGTCTGCGAGCGTCATCTGATTAAAAATGAAGTGTCAATAGTAACCTCTTAACATGTCGTTAATTATTTGATTTGAATTAATTACTAACTCTTCGACGTCTGGACGATGTTACAGGTGCTAATCGCTCCGGCACGCTGTATTCGTTATTCTCAGGGGGTGGCGGGGGTAGTTATGTTGCCGCCACCCCCGCCACCCCAGGGCAACCGGCGGCAGCACGGACTTATCACAAGGGTAAGTTTACAACGACTTCCTTTTCTTCGCTTTCTCCGATGGCCACCTTTGAGAGTACTTCTTGTTACGAGCGCGTTTTACATGTTCTATATTTAGCATTTACAAAAGTCTATCTTGAGTAATTAAATTACTTCCGCTTGTCCAGTGCTATTAAAAATTATATCTTGTAAAATGCAACAGATAATCGAAAATTACTTCAAGAATAATTTCAATTTTGGAGTAGTTCTTTTAAATTAAACAATCAGACATCAATAGTTTTCTAATTGAAAAATAAACATGTAACAAATCGCAATTCGAAATAACATATATATATATTTATTTAAATCTCTTCAAATCACATCTATAAGACTTTCATAAGCGGTCGAAGTAAATCTTGATATCGAACAGTGAATGGTTAAGAACCATTTGGCGATCGATTAAGAATCACTTTTAGTGCTTTTCAAGTTTGCCGTCTCTTCGCGACTTTTCCGATCATCTTCGCTAACAGGGACAAGCCTCCCTCGGATAATTAAAATCTCGTCGGCGATTGGAGATTCGATTTTCGACAAGACTTGGAGGAGAAGGAAGAATCGACCCTCCGCGATGTGTCCCTCTGTACTCTTTTTTTTTTCTTTTTTTTCGAATCCGCTCTCCGTCTACTAGCACCGTTTCACGGAGCCGCGTTTTAAGTTACACCTCGGACAATAAGGTTGTTAAGGACTGAGACCGAGACCAAGGTGAGTGAGGTCTACGTGATGACTGAACGCACGCCGGGAATTCTATTTGGACGCGCGCGTTTTTCTTCAACTCCTCCGTGTTCTCTCTTCTACGAGTTTGCCGCTTTAATTGCATAATTGCTCTATTGTGGGCTGAACGACGGACCCGCACGGCTCATGAAAGGGCTCCGTGCGTTGTGTCATGTCGAAAAAGCGCTATACACGCTGCTTGCTAATTGATAACCCCGGAAAATATAGACTTTTCGATGAATGTCCCGAATCGATTTTTCCAAACAAAAGTTCGATTTCGTGATTTATAATCTTTCACATTTTTCATATTTCATGCTTCACCGAATACAGAACGGACAGGTAAGTGTAAACTGATGATTTGATGGAGCAAACGTAATAAAAAAAAAAAATGTTTTGAGAAAAAGTCATTTTTTCATGTATTCATTAAGAACAGAAAATTCCATATGTCGTTGTAGATATGAACGGGATATTTTTCACACACATTAATTTGCATAGGCGGATACGTATCCGCATTTAGATAAAATCAATAGTCCTAGCAATGGCGCAGCGCGCTGCCGAAGATATATTGCGCGGCCGCGCGCTGCTGATAGACACATTCCCTCGCGGAAACAGCGCGTTTTCCTTGCGAAACGCGTTCCGAAAATATTAATCACTCTATTTCAGCATTATATCTTTTTCTTCCCATGAAAACTGCAATCCGGCAATTTATCGAAAAAAAATATCCAGTTAGTTCATTATCGGGAAAATGTGGAATTCTAATTATTGATAAAATATGGGACTACAGTAGCTTTTTAAGAGCTACTCTCGTATATTTCAGCGATAATTAAAAGTAGAAAATCACGAAAATTTGTACTATGTGTTTCAGAGTTACTTGACGGTATGTTACAAAAAATTTTTAAAAATCTGTTATAATAAAAATTTATGAATAAAAAATAACACATTGCAATGGGCATTGCAGGAAATGATGCGCAGGGTTAACAGACTCTGAATGTCAGAATAAAAATAGTCTACTCGCGTATTTGTCATCGCATCATACCGTATACGCGGTATTTTCTATCCGTGGCAGACGAATGCTAACGTTCGCGGAAGGGCGGGTCGATTAATCGGCGGCGGATTCTCCAGTTTCAGAGAGCGTGTTTTCCGCGGCAGTCGGAGTGGGGATGAGTGGCTACACCTGGGGCGCTCCCACGCCACCGCCGGGATCGTACAGCCCCGTGCCCATGACACAGCTGGACCTGCTGAAAAATTTCGCGAACCTGGCACCCGCGGCCGCGGCCGCCGCCGCGGGCCAGCAGACCTTGAGTCTGCAGGGTGTCGGCGTTAACGTGGCGGGCAGTTTGCATCACGCGCAACACACGCAGCATACGCAGCACACCCTCAATCTCACCGGGTTTCATCATCTGCATCATGGTAAGAACTTATTTCTTCTTCACTCACATTCAAAAAAAAAATGAGAAGAAAATCCCCGGAAACACTACCGTGAAACACTATACAATACTGTAAAACAGCGTTCGGTTTTTTTTAAGGGATTCGAAGAACAATTCGAAAAGATAAATTTTCTGTTTGCACCTTAAATTGTTCTGATCTTTCGGTAGTATGTTGTATATATGTTGGGCACACACACACATACACACAGTGTATACAATAAATTTTCGCACCACCTCAATAAAAAACTCGAATTTTTAAAATAAAAATTGTTATCTATATTAGTTTTCAATATACAAATACTGGAAAACTAGAGTACAATGGAGCACTCTAGTCACTTCTGCTTGAACTTCTAAAACACTATTGTGCCACTTTTCTTTTATGGCCGTTTTCAATTTGGGAAACATAAAAAACCTGCAATGAAATCGAGTGAATATATTGCCGAAACGTTTTCTCTTTTCCCAATTGAAAATGATCATAAAAGAAAACCGTTACGACAATGTTTTAGCTGTTCAAACAGAAGTGACAAGACTGCTCAATCGTATTTTACAAGATTTTCAACAAGCTTTCCAGTATCTGTATAAATCTGCCAGTTATACGTAAAAAAAAAAAGAGATTTGTATGCTGGAAACTAATGTAAATAACAATTTAATAGGAAAAATTCGACATTTTATTGAGATAGTCCGAAAATTTGTTGTATATACTATATATACTACCGCTCAAAAGTTACAATTATCTAGTTAAATATATTGATATTTATTTAAGACACTAATTGAGTGAAGTTTGATATTAAAATAGCAACAAAATTGATTATATATATAAAGTTGAAAAACAAATTGGCAAAAAATAACAAATTGTACCTGAATTAGTTATGTTTGACTTTATTTTATCCTGATAATGTTAATAAATTTACTCGACATTCAATAAAGGGCATTATTTTTCGGGCAACATTTTTCGATTCCAGAAAAGTGTTATTAAAAGTGGAACGATTAACATTATGGATTGTGTTATATTAATCACGTCTCGTCTTATGTTAGTCAAAATTTCACGAATCTACTCAAGCAAATTTGATGAACGAAGAAACGGACTGACACGAGGGAGCAAATTAGAATCCAATATCTCTGATTTCTTTCGCCCAACAGATAGGAGCTCGTTACGCAAATAGCAGTTCTGTCTACACAGCCAATGAACACTTGTAGCACTTTCGCGCGGAAAGCATCGGGGAGAGAAAGAAGGGGAGAGAGAGAGAGTCTAAAAAAACAGGGAAGCGAGTTTTTTCTCATATTCTCTCGATTGCTGCTAGCGTTTCGACGCTATTTTCGCGGGAACGTTTCCATTCCGAATTATTCTACATTATTGGCACGATATCAAGCACCGAAAAAATATATGAAATAACACAGGTCGTTGCATTCGTATCTAAGGCTCTCCTCTCACTGTTCGCTGCATTCGCGCGATTATTAATTTACGCGAGAACGATCGCGCACACACGCACACGCCACATGACGCACACGCCGGAGAACAGCGCGATTATCTCGGTTAAGCTCACGAGAATATGTTAATGCGGTTCTTTGTATTGTTTTGCGAAAGGTGGCCTCCACCAGAACGCGTTCTCGCCTCAATTATCGCTGGTGGCCGGCAGTGCACCAACCCTGACCATCAACAGCTTTTCGTCACACAACCCGACGGGCAACGGTGTCGCGCCGACGACGGGCGTTCTCCTGCAGGAGTACCAGTCGCCGATAGGCGCGACAGCGGCGCCGGCAGGATGTACCGTCACCGTGAACGGTTCCTCCTGCCTGACCAACACCAGCAGCACGGCTAACAGCATGGTGTTGCACGGCGGCAGCGGCGGCGGCAACCAAGCGACCGGCAACCAGACCGTGCAGGCTGCCACCGTCACAACGAAGAAACGCGAGGCTTTCCTTTCCAGTCAAGGCCAACCGGTGAAGCTGGAGAACAAATCGACCAGGACGTCGTGCCTGTGCAGGAACAGCAACGGTACGGCGTCCGTTTCTCGTCGGACTTTTCCGACTCTTCGTACCTAATGAATCGCGCGCACGAACAAACACGCCTTACGCGCTTACGAAATACGAGACAACGTGTCTTGATTTTCTTTCTCGAACTTTTCCCAAATGTCGGCAGCATTGCAGAAACGATTTTTAGATCTAGGACTTTTCATTTCTCGGATTAAGCTTATTTTCACGGTGGATTCATCTCGTTGAATTTTTCTCACAATTTTCCGAAATTTTACATCTCTTGGCATTCTACTTTTCACATTTTCAGGATTTACAATTTTATTCCTTCACATTTCTTAGAGCTCTATTCTCGATCTAAACGAGAGAGATTTTAAATTTACGAAATGATGCGAATTTTTTCAAACAAGTCGTCATATAATCTCTTGCTGTTTCTACAACAGGTAATAAACCTTTACCTTTGAATTTTTTGAAGAAAGATTTAGGTTTCCCAAGGGACAGTTTCTAAGATCCCGAGTTTATTTTAAGAATTTATAACTTTGGAAATTTAAAAAAGGGATAAAGATCTTAAGGCGATATTTTACTTTACAACAGTACATTGCCGAAGTTGTTATACATGCGTGTTTTATACTTAAAAAGAAATTTTCACGAATTTCTATATAGGAAAATATGAGATATATATTTTTCTTGTTTTATAATTTTGAAGATAAAAATTTAAAAAAAACTATGTTGCTAGTTGACGTGATTGTAAAAGTTTTAACAATCCAGAATTAAAAAAATTATTTAAATAGCACAATATCAAAAAGATTTTCCATCAAAAATTTTGGTTTTAACAATTTGATTTTAAAAAGAAATAGTTAATAAAGAGATCGCAATAGTTTCGCTCCAGATTGTAAATAAACATAAATCTGATATGTTGTCGAGTAATTTAATATTTTTCGAAAAATCATCAAGTTGAAAAACACAATTTCGGCAGTAAAATACCTCTATAAATTCTCGCAATTTTTCGTTTTGGGCTATAAATCGAGAAAGTTTCAAATTATTCGGAAGTCGTAAGCGCTAACGACGCGTCCGGGAAAACTGATTGCAGGGAAGACAAAGGTAGTGCATTCGGACGTGGGATGCAGCAGGACGCTACCTGTCGCCTCGTCCTGGAATGGGCAGGATGGCAGTGCTGGCACTAACAATAGCAACGCTGCTAGTCTGACGGTGAAAAGGGAACCGTTGGCTTCAGTGCCCTGTCAAGTCGCCGAAGTATCCACATCCCTTCACGCCACAACCACCTCTGTCAAGATCGAACCCGTTCCCCCCAAGTCCGAGAACGGTAAGCCGATCCTCGACCTGTCATTGTGTTGTCCGTGGCGAACGAAAAAGTTAATTATTCATACGACGGCAATATGCATTCGCCGCGCACAGTGCGGTGCAGTTGGACCTCCGCAGTCCGAATTAATTGACACAGAGGGATATCCGGATTAATTGAATTTATCGCGTATTTCTGTCGCACACATAGCAGCTTGCTACTAACATGAATTTTATGCGTCCGACACGACGCTCGCCCGTGTGACGTGAACGTTGTACGAGAATCCAACGAGCATGTTATTAGCGGCAGATGCGAGCGAGGAAAACGTGCCCTTGCGTTACACGTGCGACAAGGTGTTGCATTTAGGAATACAGATTCTTTGTGCGAGATATCGCGCGGAGCACGTTTCGCAAAATCTTCGAAATGAAACGCATTTGCAATGATGCGCAATAAGATCTTATTCGAGATAAAAATATCTGCGGTATCGCAACGTAATTGCGTTTCTCGGCAATCACGCGGAGAATCATCCGGCACGATGCGATAGAAAAATCTTCGTATGTGTCTCTAAGATGCTCATTTATCTTCGAGAAATCAGGATAATTATATCATTGTCAGTTTACGAAGACAGCGATACAAAGATCTTGTCGAAGATAGTATCATCCGAATAGGCGTAATCATACACATTTTTTTTTGCCCATCGTATAAAGATTCTTCCATTCGTGATACGAAAATTCTGTTTAAGATACAATTTTTCCGAACTCAATATTTCTGCTTTTTAATGAGCGTGAAGGGAAAACCGCGCTAGTTCGTACGCTAGTTTACGAAGAGATTGTAAAGGTTTCGTTTGAGATAAAAGATAATATCGTTCGAATATGAGCGTAATCACATTTTTCATCAACCGCACGCGAAGAATCATCACGCCGTTTGCTTAATACGAAGGCGGTGCGACGCTTTTTTGATAGGCGCACAAATGCAATGGGAAGGGGCAGCAGGGAGAGGAAGGGAAGGACCGCGCGATATGGGAGAATACGAGAGTAAGATAGCAAGATAGACAGGCAAACATAGAGAAAGAGAGAGATAGGGTGAAGGGGAGAGGGAGAGAGGGAGAAAGAGACGGTGAGAGATGAGATCATGCGAGACGAAAGAGGACCGGTCGGTCGGTTGGTTCACGAGCAAGACAACGAGAGGGAAAGAGCAAAAAGGAGACGAGGCGAGGAGCAAGGAGCGAGAGAGAAAAACGAGAGAGAGAACGGCAGAGGCAGACAGTCTCGTTAAAGTAGGAGGTGCGTGGCACGCATGGCGACGCAAACACAAGGCGTGGTTCGAAAGAGTCTCGACCCTCTTCCCGGCTCGGGCCTGACGCATCCGTGCTCGCTGGCACACGCTTCTCATATCGGTGCGTGGTTGTGCCCACACGTGTTACGTCATGCGAGTGTAACGCGCTCCGCGTCACGTTGCGTCGCGTCGCGTCGTGTCGCGCCGCTGAAGGTGCGGAGAATAGCGGCAGCGACGAGAAGGAAAGAAAAGAAGGGTGGTGAAGAAACAGCGGGGAGAGAGGAGATCGAGATGGTGATTTAAATGAATGCATTTCCAGGCGTATCAATGAAACGCGGCGCGGTTTCCGTGTCGGTTCGGCAGGGAGAACATTCGAGGAGAATTCCGTGGTAGTTGTCATAAAGAGGCGGAAAGGTCATAAACACACGAATAGATCGAAGTACATCAGTGAAACGCCTGCAGATCGCGGTGATTTCGTTAATATGAATATAATATTCAACAATAGACAATAAAGGTTTCGAAATTGGCGATCTCTGTGTCTTTTTGCGCCGAAATAATGTCGACTTATTGAGTTTTCTCGACCCTCTGTCTACAAATACTCGTAGGGCCATATATCTATTAAAACTTGCGCGCAGAGAAGAATATACAAGTTTGTAAAAATTCTTCAAAATTCTCAAAAATTAAAATTAAATCGATTTTAATCATCGATTACCTGAAAAAATTTTCCCGATTATGTGAAATTACGTAAATATTTGATCATAACGTAATTTTCTACAATTACATCAAGCTTAAGATCGAGTCAATGATAATATCCCAGCTTCTCTTGTTGATATTCACGCGTGATCTTCTTAATCATTTCAGGGATAGCGGTCCCTAATGTGGGCAAAGCGGTTGGTATTGCTGTGGCTAGGCAGCGATTGCAGCATCAGGAAACTTCATCTATGCGCAATGTTTCCTTGAGTCATCACACGTCGCATCACGCGACCAACTATCATCATTTCCAGCCGGACAGTCTGGGTGAGTCTTTTTTTTTCCTTCGGGATTACGAAACTCTGCCTCTTAGAAGTGATATATAGAATTACAAACACGATAGAATTACGAACATCTTGTGCTTGAATATTTAAATATTTTAAAATAAGAATTTAATAATGCATCCGCATGATATGATTGCGTTTCAAGTGATCGCACGATTGTTTGCAAAAAAATGACATTTGAAATATGGAACTAAAAGTTAGCGTTGAGCTTTGATGATAAAAAGATGTGTGCGCTTTTGTCATTTCTGTGCCAGTGAATAAACAGCTCTGAAATCGATCGCATGATGCTTTTTTAATCGAACTCTAGGCATGTCGCTTTCAGCATCAGAGTCAAGAAATGAATGACTTGTCACTTTTATGTTTCCAATCATATTCTTTAACTGCTCGCGCGCGGCGTCTTATAGACGCCACATTCGACGTAGGTTCTGTAGCTATCGTCATTCTTTCGCATTGATAAAGTATTTCACATTTCATCTTCTGCATGAATGTGATACATTAATATAAATTTGTCTCCTAATTGCATGCAATATATATAGTGTCTAGTTACGTAGTTACGTAGTTACGCAGCATGTCCACGTAGTGAGATCAACAAAGTTCAGTAGTCCTAAAGCGAATATTAAAGAGGGCTCGCTTGGGATTAACTGGCGTAGATCGAAAATTCATTCATCGTACATAACCACGGTAAAATTGATCATGCTTTTTTAATCGAATCTAGTTATTATTAGTCGATTTTAATCACTTTCAATAAATTTTAGTCGCTTTTTAACACTTATCGCTTTCAGCATCACATCAGCATCCAGAATTATCTGTTGGAGAACACTGAATTCATTTCGCACCTTTAAGTGTAATTTATTGCGAAAGGATACACCGACTACTGCATGAAGCAATTATTTTTACAACGATTCTTCGAAAATGACACGCTGATAAAAAAGAATTTTGCATTTATCAGCCAATGAATTAAGCAGTAAAATTGATACAATCTTTAGTTTTACGATTATTTGGTGAAGAGGTGAGCAATTCGCGTCAAAGAAAGTGCGTTTCTTATTTCATTTCCCCTTTTGATCTTCACACGGAGAAAATTTTATATAAAAGATTACTATGTTCCGACAGTAGCCACCATTATGAAAAAAATTTCTATAATTTTTTCGTGGTCCGCGGCTACTGCTGTACATAGTAATTTTTTATATAAAATTTTCTTCGTGTATCAACAAACTGGGTCCGTTCTAGGTTCCGGCACAGCCATGACGATAGGCGGCACCACCCTGGTGCACTGTGGAGGGCCTGGAGGGGAGGATCGTGCGGCCCACCTCGCTGCCATTCCCTCAGGGGCTCTCGCGCCTTCGCTAAACCTGAATTCCAGTATAAATTCCGCGCTGAATTCCACCCTGGGCAGCATCGGCGGCGCACCGGCGGCCGCGACCGATGCGGCCGCCGCTACGTGGCCGCCCACGCTGTGGCAGTACTCGGCTACGGCGGCCGCAGGTGGGTAACTCGCGATAGAATATTTCGTTAAAAGAATAATGAGCGATATAGCTGACTATCCCAACTCCTTTCGTCGGAGCAGTAAGATAAACCAACTCGACGGCCGAACCAAATGTCTTTATGACGTTCATGGTTTGCGGTGATTGAAACATTGACTTTGTGTCAACATTGTTCAGAACTCTACGACGCTATTGACATCTTGAATAAATAATTAGGCTTTTAACCCCTGGGCGCTGCCGCGCAATATGTATATACACAACAGTCTAAATACTATAGAATTGATATCAAAGATTGTGTACGAAATCACGTTTTTTTTTTACATGATAATAATTTGAGTAATAAGTGCAAAAATATTTTGCGATAAATTTGATAAAAATATCTCATGGAGTGTCATTAATATATCGTTTGAATTTCGTCATTAATAATACCGTGGAAAAATTTGCGATTCTCTTGATTGTTGTTAAACAAATGATATTTAAAACTCTATTAATGTTAATTAATTGGTAAGTACATTAGGATTCGGTATTTAATATTTTACTAGTAACATTTAACAATGGCAACATAATAAAAAAAAATTGAAAAAGATCATACGCGATGCTTATTGCGAACTGCGTAATTCACATAATCTTAATTTTTAGCAGTATAAACAAGTCATATCGAATGATGAACAAAAGCTCAAATTAATTAACATCACGTGATGTATACCACGCGCATCTATCGACACGGGGGGTGGAAGGGAGATTAACCGGGCCACTAACGAGCGACCCTATACAATTTCGGATCGAATTCACCCCTCACACGTTGACCTCCCCAGCCTCGCTGACCGAGTGACATTTATTCAAATAACGCTGAACTACATTGCTCTCCTCCGATCCGCTGCTCGCGGACGTATTTTCGTGACGTGTAAATCATTCACGCATATCGGTTTTAATTCAATTTGAGTCGCTCAATGGAGAACAGACTTAAATTTGCGCATTAAGACATTGGAAGTCAGCGGAACAATTTTATATGCTTTTCGACATCTTAATAGCAGCGGTAGCAATTTTTTTTTTTATTCCAACTCCAGAAATATAACGGGGCAACGTAAATATCTGATATTCTTTCGAACATTTCTTTTTATACCGTTTATATTATTGCGTAATCTGATGCATATTTAAATGAATAAAGTATGATTGCTATTGAAGCATGAATGAAGCAATTTAAATTAATTCTTTGAATCCCAGATTTAGATTGCGTTGTTAAAGTATTTCTTTTATATGCGTCTAAAAAATAAATAAATGAATAAGATAAATAAGCAAACTTTAATCATACACGTAAAATAAATAAACTTTGAAATTTTTTTGTTTAAAGTTATATATGAAACATTAGGATTTAAAGGGTTATAATTTCGCAAAGGATGAGGAATTGATTTGTCTTTTATAGCGATGCCAACGGAGCCGGTCGGCTTTTCGCAAATGGGCTCCGGGCTTCAAGGTGGATTCCAGCTAATCCGCGATCCAACAACTGGACAAATACTTGTTATTCATGCGGGTAATGTAACATTTCCGAGCGTAATCCTAAATATGTGACTTAATGCAAGAACGACCAAAATATCTCCTCCGATTAAAACAAGATACGCTGTATAATAATTTTCAACAAGATGCTTTGCAGGAAAGTTAGTTCTATAGATGAAAATAAAGTAGTCACAATCCAGATTATATTTTCCTAGAGAAGTTTTAAATTATAAAAGCTCACGCTTGCTACAGCTCATTATGCTCAGCAAATTTTACTTTGACGAACAAGCAACATTGATTGTTTGCACATTAAGCCGCAGAAATATGTATATTCCTCTTAATGGCGTAGCAAGGATCAATTTTACATTTTTACAATTTCAAATTTGCAGCAGAACAAATGCAGCAGGCTGTGGTGTTCCCTAATTACTTGAACCATAGCAATAACGTGATACCGTCATCGCTTCTGGTGCCGCCTCCTCCGTCCTCGATACAGCTTTTGAGTGATATTGGTGGTGCGCGTTTAGTGCTGACCGAAAACAAAAGGAAGCAACAAAGCGCGTCTCTGCCGATAGTAAAAATTGAGGCAGAATGCAGCAACAGTCCAACCGCTATAATTAGTAAGGAAAATTTCCTTTTCTTTTTCCGTATAAAGAAAAAATTGCAAAACGAAAGAAATAACCTTTTTGAAGATAATGAACGAATATAATGCAACTGTGTAAAAATAGTTAGAGAAATACTATAGTAGTTAAATATCGCGTATTTCACTCGACAAATTTTTTGAGAAACAATTCGACGTATATAAAGATATTTCACGCCAAAATAATTCACGAACGTTGCGCGGTGGAGATTAATTTTTTCGATTCTGTAAGAGATAATTGAGCCAAGTCGCCGTTTCCTCTTTCTCTCTCTCTCTCTTTGATGCAATGAAATATGAATTACATTTGCTACATTACGTAATCGCATTGAGATATTTCCTAATCATCCGCAGCATCCACCGAATCGTCAAAAACCGCCTTGCAGACCATGGCGGGCGCTCTAGTACCAGACGCTCTGGTTACCACTCTATATTACCCCCAAGGATCGGCGCTGGTGCAGATTAGTCAAGCCGAGCCTACTGCGCACTGCAGATCACAGGTAGGTCCATCATCTTTCGCCGGATTTGAAAAACCTATGTCGAAGCGCGCGGTATACGCACCGCGCCGCACGAATTATTGCGCGACCGACCGGACCGGCCGGCCGGCGCAATATCTATGCAGATAGCGATGCAAATCGGGTTTGCCCATGATTAATACAATATGCCGCAACGTTTCCACATTATGCGAATGGCTGGACCGCGCCCCGAGCCTGATGTAATTACCGCTGCACTCGCGTCCGCTGCCCCCCCCCCCCTCTTCCTGTTCTTACCCGAAGATCTTTCTCTTTTGGTTTTGCTCGTGTCGAACGATCCACTCCCGATATTTGCAATAAAACAGTAATTAATTCTTGATGAATAAAGTACGAGTTCTAAGCAAAGAGTATTCACCTGCATATTCAAACAGCACAATAAAAAGTACATTCGCTAATAATCTTTCAACAATGTTTCTTATCTTGAAAGCTTCGTGAAAAATAAATAAAAAATAAATAAATAGATGAATAAACATTTGAGTTTTTTTCGTTCATAGTTATTGCATTTTACTTTCGCCAAAAGTTGAAAGGAGCTTTAGTGATAGAAGGTCTTTTCGAGACTCTAAGATGTAACAAGATGTAACAAGAAAATTCTTTCTTCGCGAAGGCCACATCGCCGGTCTCGTGCCTGACGCCACCCCCAGAAATACCGGCGACAATTCACGCGATCGAGCCTGCGTCGTTTGGAGTTCAGGACGCTTCGAATCAAACCGATGCGCCCGAGGAAACGGACGAGCATAAACAAGAGCCACCGCTCGTAAAGCAGGAGCAAAATCTGAGTCCATGCCAGGCGTCTCAATCTAATACAAATCTGACCGCCGCTAACTTCGAAATTGTCAGAATCACGACAACTACGACGACGGTGAATCCGACCGTCTGCGGCATCGTCGCCAAAGTGGATAAGGCGGAAAATACCATCATTAATATGGCCGATGCGGCCAAATATTTGACAAAAGGATCGGGCAGGGGTTTCGTCAGAGCAATTGAGCAGAGCTCGCAAGGCGTCAAGGCGACAGATGAGGACAAAGACGATAAGGTGCCGCTTTGTAGCAGGAGCAGGATCGGCGCTAGGATCATTGAGATCACCGAAGAGAACTGTGATAGTTTCCACGAAAATTTGGAATTCTTCGCGAGAAGAAGAGACGTCAGTGCAGAGCAACGCGATCATCGAGATGATTATTCTAAGGATGAAACGGATGCCGCGCCTAACATTCATGAAAAAATGGATGTAAGGCTTTAATCATTATCTGAAGCTTATTTAAAAATTGTTGTAAATCGATTTTTCTAAAAGAATTATTTATCTTTTTCACAATTATGCAATTACACGATTTAAATATTATTTGTTAATTAACTAATAAATATTATGCAAACAAAATTTGCAAAATTTATTTTTAGAAATTATCTAAATCCAAATTTATTATCAATTTTTACATCTAAATGTCCCGACTTAATAATTGTTAACATTTCAACATTGGAGCAGTTGTTTCATTTCTTTTAATCTGTCGCAATTTACAAATTGGTATATATAACATGTAAAATCTTTTTCTATTTTGTAGATTGAGTCGAAGACCATCGATGCTCCGGAGAAGGTGGAAGTCCACTGTCAAATGTGCCCTAAAACACCGGAAACAGCAATATTTGACGAGCCGAAACCAAGCGCCGTGGATTCGACGGAATCGTCGAGAATTAATTGCGAGAGCTGCGACAAGAATCGAAACATAGCGAACGGCGAGGACCGGCCTCAAATCGCGAAGAAATCCTTCGACATGCCTAATATCGATTGCGACGATCAGGAAGTGCAGCAGGTGGTCATCAAGCAAGAGGCCGATGACAACTGCTACGAGGTGTGCTACGAGTCATCTCAGTGCGAGCCGACGTCCACCAGCGAGCGATCTAGATCTAGCTGTGAGAGATTGTCGCAGGAGGCGACAAAGAGGCACTCGGTGGAGAAGACGCATCATCCAGGTATCGAGAACGTGGTAGAGAAGCTGAAGAAGAGTGCGGCGGCTCTGCAAGAGGCCACTCTTCTACCTGTCGCTCAGAAGATCGACAAATCCACGGAACAATTGGACGCGGAGAAGTTAAGAAGGTACTCCGAGACGATCCCGAAGAAACTACATTTCCTGAGGTCTTGTCAGAATTCTCTAGAAAGCAACCTAGACACCGAAGTTTCCTCGTCGCAAACTGCGGAGCAACACGATCACGATCAATCGGGACATTCATCGCAGATGGAGGACGAGCCCTCGTCGGCTAGCAGCAAGTGCGACACGTCCGGCGAGTGTTTGATTAACGACAACAATAACGACAGCAAGAGTAATAACAATAATATCAAGGTACTCGAAGACGTGAAACTGCTCGCGATGAACAAGAAAAATATTCTTTACGACACTTACAAACCGAAGACCGTCTGGCGCTGCGAGGTGCATCCGCTGGGAAAGTTTAACGCCACTCGCAAATCCGAGGTCGTTAAAGACGACGCGTCCTCGGAAACGATCGATAACAGCGGTCTCCTGCTACTGTCGAAGAGCATCGAACAGTACGAGCAACGGATTGGTCAGCCGGAACATCCGCAACCGGATGCCTACGACGCCGAGAACTCGTCGGTTAGAAGTGAGCTGCAGATAAGTCAGCAGAGCGAGAGCAATAATGTCGGCAATCGCTTGCGCATTTTGGATCTTGCCCAAATCGCCTCCGAGATTATAGAGAGCGATCATCTCGAGAAAGACGGAAACAAAAGAAAGTATCCGGAAAACGATGACCACCATGTCAAACGATACAAGATCGACGATTGCAAAGAGGAGGAAACCAACAAGGATGCATCATTTAATTATCCTGAAGAAAGTAGTGCGAACAAGACGATGGAGATTATAGCAGAGCAACGGGCAGCGGAGAGCACCAAGTGTACCGTTAATTTCTCCGAAGAAAAAATCAATAATGTCACTGATGAAAGAGTTACTGATGCAGAAGAGAAACCTCTCAATGAAGATTATGAAAATTATCAGCCTAAGAAACGCAACGCAAAGCTTCTTAAAGATTCGCAAGTTCTAAACAAGATCTGTTTGGACGAAACATTCGATAATTCACAAAACAATGATAATTATGATAAGCTCTCTGACGAAGGCTCAGACAGCGAATCGAGGATTTTCTCCGGGCAGCCAACGAGTCAAGTCGAAAGCAAGAAGCGGAAGGCATCCGTTGAAGACGCGAGAGGAGACGTCCATGACTACAAAAACCCGCAGACAAAGTTAGAGACGAAGAAATTCATAGCCAGAAAAGGCAGTCGCGACGAGGGTGATTGGCCGAATATCAACGCCGCGGAATCCAACATAATAGCCGAGATGGCCAACATACAAAAAAAGTACAAAGAGACACAATTGGAACTCTTTAAATTACCTCCCAAAAAGGACGACAAAAAGTGCTTCGGCAGACCGCGGAAAAAGAGCCACTCTTCTCTGAGGTAAGTGCGAATCAAAATGATAATTAACGAAACGTAAATACAAATTTATTTCATAAATGTAAGATAAATGTAAATTTCTTGAAAATCTATGAATTATATATAATACACGCGGAATCAAAGGTTAAAAATAATGTTAAATTTTCTGTATTTTTGTTTCATAAATGTAAATCTTACATTTATTTTATATGAAAATTAAATGTTACTGTTGTTTCGAAATAAGAGCAAGGTGATATGTAATGCAATATACAAAATTTTTCTAAGTTTTTCTTTAGTTTTCGAGAAAATTGAAAATTCAGAGATTCCCCGGTATATTATAATTCGCATATATTATAATGTGCCATCGCGATAGTTGCTACACACGGCTGTTTCAATCAGTAAACAGTAAATAAGAGAAAAAGAAATGATAGCAGATAAACCACGTTGTATTTACAAACGTATTTACAAACAGAAATGAAGGTGCAGAGGCGAGATCCATTAAAGTCGAGTCTTAACACTTTTGCGACCGTATATATCCGGCTCTGCTCAACGACCTAATACAATGATGCAAAAAATAGTGAACGTAAAATTATGTGACCGACTTCTGACTTATACCGAAGTATAAACGTAAAAACGGCTCCGTACTTATACTAAAATATAAACATAAATATACGTGAGCGACCGTGTTAATGTTAATCAAGTGCGCGCATATCTCATGGATCGTTAAAGACAATTCTTTCAAAACTGAATTTTCTATCAATCGATTGTCTTTTATTAGAAGTTTGAAAACAATATAGCCATGCAGTCCTGTCAAATTAAATGTCAAATAAACGTAACGAATTTCATGTGCCAATTATACATTAATTTTAAATAATGGACGATGATACTTCGATAATTGATGAAATCAACGATTTTCTCAGTTCTGATCAAGGAACCTTGCCATCACCACCCGCATACGAATTTGGGAGCTCGCCAAACTCGCCAGTGAAGTTATCCGGATGGATAGATGACGCATTTTTGCCGATAACTTCTGCTGGTTCGATCGTGCCGACAAATGGGACGAATCTTGAGAAACACATCTCAAAGATCGAGCGAAAATATCAGATTGAACATCAGAGCCATATAAAGCTTCTCGACAGTATACCCAGCATTCCGACATCAGAGCTGCCGATAGCATTACCAGACCCAATACCTGGTCCCAAAACAGCAGAGGATGGCGAGAAGAATACAGGAACAGCAACGGTAAATTAACATACGTGTACTATTGGTGATGCAAAATTCTGTCAAAGTCTCGCGCGCGCGCGCGCGAAAAAAGTCATTTATATTTATTTATTTTATATAAAGCCAAGAATTTATGCAAGTAAATTTTGTAACATTTTTCTCTTTTTTTTCTTGAAAAAGAAAAACATATTTTTTGACTCAACTAAAAGTTTTATATTTAGTTTTATATTTAGAGGAACTTTTTCGTGACACGTTCTAAACATTTATACGCTAAAATCTTTATGATGTATCGTTAATGTAACGTAAAGATTTAAGTATAAAGAACGAATATTTTAAATTTTGGACAAACAAAACGAATGTGACATCTTTATTTTCTGTCTTTTAGGTGAACTCTGATGTGTCGTCATCGTCTAGTGCCGCAATCTCGATCTCCGCTTCGAAAAGGAGAAAAGTAGGCCGACCAAGAAAGTTTAAAAATTTGACAGAGACAATCGTTACTAAAAAATCGAAAAGCAAGAGTGCTATAGTGGATTACGTGCTATCCCCGAAGAATAGACATTTGCAAACAAAGGTTAGTTACTCTTTCGAAAAGAATCCGTTGTAATTTACTTGCATTGAAACTTGTATTTTCGAATTTCGAAATGCTAAACTTTCTTCACATATCACTAACTTTACAAACTTTCATGTAATGTCTCTATGTTTTCAGCAATATGGCTACACACCGTTGCCATTCAAATCTAGTATGTCTTCCTTAAGGCAATCTAAGCTGCAAAAGACGAAGCGAATGAAACAAACTCCGCTACATAAAAAAGACGTGATTGTCAGCTCGATCTTTGGCGACAAAGCGAAAAAGCATAGTAGCGGTAAAGTGAAACCAAAGCTCAAAGCGGAAGTTATGATGAAAAATTTGAATGATGAAAGTGATACGATACCGCCCGAAAACATTCCATCCGAAGAATCTATTGTTCAAATCTCCGTCGAGGTAATAAAAATTTGTCGTTGCATATTATTATAGATATGTTAAAAAAAGAATTAGTAGAAATTTTACAAAGTTATAAGTCACTGATCTGAAAATTCTGAAATTCACTTCTAGTCTGATAAAAATACAATTAAATTTAAAAAAATTTTATAAAATTATGATTTTTTAATATAAATAAAACTGTACTTTTAGTTAATTTTTTATGAACGTGCATAACGTTATTATTCACGTTTCCAAACATGTTTATTTGTTATTTCACAGATGAGATCAAAAAACGTGAACTGGAAAAACAAGATAATATTTCTAATGATAAAATTCCTTTTGTGTTAGGAGACGCCGGCAGAGTCGGTCGAACAAGGAATGGAAAAGGAACCGGAACGACCGAGGCACGAGAAATCAAAGAAGAGGAAGCGGAAATTATCACAGTCGTCAAACAGCGAGAGCAGGGAATCAAAGTGGCACAAGAACTGCACGCAATGCAAGAAGACCGCCGCCGAGAGTATCATCAAGCGGTGTAAACTAACGGACGAATATCTAAAACAGGACCATCTGCGAATCCTGAAAGAGTCCAACGGCTTGTTTTACGCGGGCATTCTCAGCGTTGTCCAACCCAATGAAATTTATGCCATTAATTTGGATGGTGAACGAGGGAACAAATCACACATTTTACCCAAGGAGGATATATTACGCGATGCGGTAATTACGAGATTCAACTCTCGAACCCCACCTTGCCGATTAATCTATTCTTTTATAATAATGTATCAATTAGCAAAAGAAGTAACTCGTTGTCTTATAATGGTAAATCGTATTCGTGATGCTGAATAAAGCAAACACGAAGTGCGATGACGATTCAAAATTCTGACAAATAACACGATGACATTATCTCGTCAACCTACACGACACTCCATTTCGGCAAATAACACAAAAAATCATAAGGCAATTAGTTAACACATATACAAATACAAAGGCAATACATAATACAAAGACAAGCAAACAAAAACAAAAAATATAAGAAGCCAGCAATCAGAAACGCAAATAATGGTAAGATGGGTGTGACGCGCCAAAATCAAACATGTGTATAGAAAATATAAAATTTCTTAAATCTAATTAATTTGGTTAGAGAAAGAGTTTCATTAAGATTTTTATTACAATGTGGGTACTTTTATTACAACCCGGATGAATAAATTTTGACATATGTTCCAGGAATACCAAAATTTATGAATGTTCTTTTAATGATAGATTTTGTAATTAATTTGTTCTCAACAAAAATGTAGAAAGAGTTTTAAATTAGGGTTTCATCAAAAGTTATTTAAAATAAATCGAAAAATGGTTGTGTTATTTATTGGACGTTTGCAAAAAGCCCTTTTTTCATATAAATACTTAAAATAATTACTCGCAAACTATCAGTGTCAACATTTTTGCTAAGAAAAGATCGATTTTAAATTGATTATCAAAGAAGCGATTAAAAAAACATTTACAAATTTTGCGATACTCTGTATATGTGAATTTATCTGTTTATATTTGTACGCACATATAATGAAAAGGAAAACTTTGAGAGAAAGAAAGAAATGCTTAACGGTCAGGTATGTCTTAAAACGTCCAAGGTACGTCTGCAAATTATTTGTTGCAATAAAAATTATTATTTAATATTTATAAATAAAGAAAATCCAAAAATAATATTTCAAAATAAACGTTAGTAAATTAGGTTTATACAGGAACTGTCCAGGAACTCATAGTACAAGCGGCAAGGGGGTGATTCTACATGAAAAAATAAGTCAAAAATGTAGAATACAAATTTTTTTATATTTAAAGTTATTTTTCTGGAAACCAAAGCCTTGTACAAAAAATTTTTATTCTACATTTCTGACTTATTTTTTCACGTAGAATCACTCCCTTTTTGCTTATACCACCAGTTTCCGGACACCCTGTTGTGTATAAAGAGAATTAAGAATTGTTATGTAATATTTAATTACATAACAAGTGAATTCTTCCGAAAACATAATTGTCTTTCATCGCGCAGATTGTGGAAGTACGTCCAAGTTCAACAAAAGAGATACTACCCGGGACCAGACTGTGTGCATATTGGAGTCATAATCAGAGATGCTTGTATCCCGGGATCTCAGCGGAGCCTATTAATGGGAATAGTGCGGAACAGTGCGAGGATAATTACGTCATCGTGGAATTCGACGACGGAGACAGCGGTAGAATCAGCCTGGAGTATATCAGATTCTTACTGCCTGATTATCCTTTCGTAGGCAAGTGTTCTACATATATGTATCTTCACCGTTGCTCGTATCGCAGGACTTAGTCCTGCTATACGTAATAACAAAATCATATTTATCATTGTTATTTACAGAGTACAATACAAACCCCTTGGTGTCATGTCGCAAACGACGGCGACAAGCATCCGCATCGGAGGAGAAACGATCCGTGGACAATGATCAAACTGCGGCGTCGGGTGACGAAATAACAGCGGAGGCATTCACCCACGAACGCGGCAAAACAAAGATCGAAAAGCTTTGTGACTATCATCGCAGAAAAAAGAAAATAAAGAAGGATAAGAAGCTACATGAGTCTCAAGAAGAAAAAATGAAGCACAGAAAGCACAAGTCTAGCAAGGAGCATCGTAAGGAGAGACATAAACATAAAAAACATCGGAAGCACAAACACAGACATCATGATAGCTTTGGCGATTCGAGCAAAACCAGGTACACATCGTCATAACCTGATGTGTTGACTAATCCAATTTTTATCGTTTCTTTGAATTTTGTTTGGAAATCCCTAATTTTCAGCTCACAATCTGCCCTTGCGTGCGCGTGTGCGTCCTTGTGTGTACTTTATAATGGAAATTATCGAAAGTAAAAAAAAAAAGAATTATTGCAACAATTATTTAAAGCAAATTATTAACATATGTATCTCTAATATCTCTATCATAATGTTGAAATTTTCCTTTCCAGCAGCAAGGAAAGTAGCTTTGAGCAGAAGAGCGAGGAAGAAGCAGTCCACAGTACAAGTACAGGTTTTCTCGCTGCTGAGGAAAGAACGTCATTCGAGACCGAAGAATTGTCAGAAGATAACGAACCTCAAATCGCGTCTGAAGAATTAATAGAATCTGCGCAAGAGGACGAAGAAGAGGCTCAGATAGAATCTGAAGAATCAGCAGAAGCCATCGAAGACGAAGAAGAGGCTCAGATGCCAGAAGCCATCCAAGAGCACGACGCGGTTCAGATAGAGTCTAAAGAATCCTCAGATCTAGTAGAAAAAAACGATGAGATTCCAGTTCAAGAGTCAGAACTTATTCAAGACGTTCAAGTAAAATCTGAGGAATCGCCAGCATCAATCGGAAGAAAATTGAGAAAGCAGCGTAAGACACCGACGAATCGCACTTCGACGAGTCGCGTCCCGACAAATCGCCCTTCGACGAATCGCGTTTCGACGAGGCGCGCCGCGAAGACTAATCTCGTCACTTCGTCAAATCTCTCCTCGACTGATGCTACCACGTCGAGTTCATCCTCGTCGAATTCCCCCTCGTCGAATTCCCCCTCGTCAAATTCCCCCTCGTCGAATTCCTCCTTGTCGAGTTCCTCCTCCACGAGTTCCTCTCCGTCAACTCCTCCCTCATCGAATCCCTCTTTAACGAGTCCCTTGAATTCCTCTACACCGGACTCGTCCGCATCGAATCCCATTGAGACAACCAGTGCAATAGCCCCCATGTTACCTAACAAACGTCTCTGGAAATGGGCGAGCAAACCTAATCATACGTCTGGAGGAAATCAGTATTATACGGCCATACGACGCGGCAGGGAGACGATAAACATCGGCGATAGCGTACTATTCTACTCCTATAAACCCAACGAGAAACCTTACATCGGCAAAATCGTGCAGCTGTGGTCAAAGAAGTCAGAAATGAAGGTCAAATGCGATTGGTTCTACCGCCCCGAAGAGCTGCATGAACCTTGCGGACTGAATCCTCCGGTAAATTTTTTGTTTTCTTCTTAATGTAACACTTAAGAAAAAAGAAAATCGGTATTTAGATTAAGTTGAAAACGAATAATCATTTGTGTGCGCAGGGTGGCCTATTCACATCGGATCACCGCGACACGAACGACGTGCAGACCATCTCCCACAAGGTAATGGTGGTGACACTTGATGAGTACAAACAGATGCTAGAGAAAACACCCCAAAGACATCAAAGGATCTGCGAGGATGATACATACTATTACAACGCCGGCTACTACAAGAATCCGAAAATGAAATTAGCAACCGGCGTTAAGACTATTCCGATTCAGATTGACAATAAATGAGGACAGCTTAAGCTGACGATTAAGTTAACAAAAATTACTTAATCGCAATCAGCCAACAACTTTGCGAAATTTCGATATGACAGCAGCGCTCTCGCAATAAAGACATGTGAAGAAACAACTTCACCGAGGTCAAAGATTGCAGGCTAAAAATGCCTTTATCGATCCATATCGCTTTCGAAGCTTTGTCGCGCACGTCTAGCGATAACAACATATATCTTTCATATCTTTCATGTTTTAATCAATTCGGCGGAATATTTAGTCGCGCGCCAATAACGACGAAACGTTTTTATATTGCTATATCTAATGAGGAATAAGAATAAAACAATGTTATATAACATTGATTAGTAAAAATTAGAATACTTTGATATTGAGTGAATGCGCAGTATTTTTTTTCAAGTAGTATACGTCCCTCCTTTGTGTCTTTTTATTGCGAGAGCGCTGCTCAGGTTGAATCCACAAGGCACAAGCATTACTTCATTCGCAAGATACTTACTAAAACGCTCGGCTTTGAAATAGGGCGCTTGTTATTACTTATTATCGTCTATCATGTGATAATCAGACTCATTTATTCAATAAATAAAAGTATGATGCGCGACTAAATATTCTATCGATTAAAGTGATAAGAGTATTCGATTATTAAAAGCAATATCATTATCGCTAGACGCGTGTGATAAATTCGACAGCGATGTGAACACCATTAGCCTTCGACCTCCCTACAGGCAATACTTGTGCCTTGTTCAAAAATTTCTCTCATCCAAAATACGATCCGATTGTCGTTTGGTTTCTGCAATTGTAAGTACGCTTAAATTTTTCAAGCAGGAGAGAGAGAGAGAGAGAGAGAGAGAGAGAGAGAGATAAAAAATTTTACTCGCATGAATACACGCTTCTTGCAAGTTTAATGTAATATAAACTCTAAACTCAATAAGTTTCATTAAGTAAATCTGCTCGGTTTTGTCGACTATACTGACGTTAACAGCGCTTTCTTTATTGTCTGAACATTCTTTACAATTTAATTTAATTTGTACTTTTGACACGGAATATCGCAAAAATGTAACGATAACGAAGCAATGAAAAATTAATTTTATTAAAGCTTGCGATAAAATCAATTATTTAAATAACCAACTGGTCACTAAATTTAAAAAAATTTCCGAACGATAAAAAAAAATCGTTACGGCATGACAGAAGCAGAGGTGTGCCTGGAGAAAGAAAAGAGCGAAAGAAAACTGAGCGAATTTTATAAATGAAGCTTATCGAATTTGGAACTTATTTTTTATTCACAAGCCGCGTGAATCCAAGCGAATAAATTTTCATTTCAACATCTTAAAATTATTATTGAGAAAGTTCTTAGTTTTTATCGTCGAAAAAATTTGATTCCCGAGGTTGGGGCTGAAATAACCGACAATGTACTTATAATTCGTGACACATGACTTATTGACTCTTAGTGTCTTTCGCAGTTATGAAACGCTTAATCGGCGTAATTAATCATGTAAATAAGAAAGAGCGTTTTTTGAGAATAATTGCAAACAAATTTGGGGCTGCAAAGTTTTAACATAATATTGAACTATTTCTCGAGTATAACTATTGTCAAAATTAAACTTTGATTGTGAGTCACGTGTCATGAACTATCCTTGTTAGATTAAGATACTCTTTCCTCGTACTGTTTTGCTTATTTGTCAACACGTTAATTAGTTTGGTAGTTCTTTCTTTTTTTTCTATATTGCGAGAAGAAACTTTACTACACGCGCGTAGTAATACAAAATGAGGTGCTGTACATATATCGATAGATGATTCTCGCGGACTTGTAAGATACGGATTTTTAGGTGAAGATATTCGAATAGCCGAACGTCGTTCGTTTTTTTTTTTAATTTTGCAATGGCAAACATACACATGAAGCTCACTGTAGACATTTTTCTATTAAAATTAAAAATTTATAAGAATAAAGTTCGAGTATTATATGAGGGTACAAATATCATATTTAGAGGAAAAATGGATCAAGTCCATTTTTGTTAATTGTTAGAAAATTAGTTTTAAAGTTAAAGTTATTCTAATTATGTGCAACACTGTTTTTTATCGGTGCTATAGTTTCTTTTAATTTTAACTTAAACATTTGCACTCTTTTTTTAAGTCATTCGATGAAAATTGTTTAGTTTTTTCTAATTTATGGATTTAAAAAAGGACTTGATCCACCACTTTTCCTCCGAACTCCTCATATAGCTGCGTAATACGACTTATTATTTCGTTTCTGAACTATTTTATGAAAAAATGAACAACAAAATTTACAAATATGTTAATCGGATAATTTGAAAATCTATTGTTTGATATAATAGAAAATACTTCAAGAATCAAAATATACATATACAAAATTCAAATCAATATAAAATATGTAAGTATTTTGATTTTTTAAATATTTTCTGTACTATATGATATGCGGAAATGATAAATTAAATTCTATTTAGAAATTTATCGCAAATTATAAATCGTCTAAATTGAGCTTCAATTATCAACTTCGATAACTCGAAGCGTGACTTGCCCATCTTAATTTTGAAATTATCGGGTTTTGAAATCTCGGAATCAGATTTTGACAAATAATTTCAAATGAAATGGACAAACGTGCTTCGTGAATCGAATGGATGCCTTATATGCTGCTGTGTGAAATAAAGCATGCGGCTTAATTTTTTTTATGTAAATATTCATACATAAAAAAAAACTCCTTCGTTGTGTACATATATAGAGCAGTAAGACTGCGCGACGTTTCACGCCGCGTTGCTTTTAAAAATATTTTTGACAGTCGGATCGATGCGTTGTATAAATATAACCCGATTTAATCATGTAGTACGTAAAAATACTTAAGTGTGTATAATATATAGTATTTTTTCATGAGAAGTTCATAACGACGACGACAAGTCGGCCAAGCTTTTTAAATACAAAAAAAGAGAGAGATTTTAATTGTGCTGTTGCCGTTGCATCAGTGAGCTTCCACGGGCAACTGAATATCTAAGTAGTGGATGAATTTAACGTGTCAGACCCTACATCCCGAATGTTTCAATGAAGCATTAGCCCTAGGAACATCGAGTTCTAACTAAAGAGCATTCGCAAGCATTTTTATTCCGATTTTTCAATAAAAATTATAAAAAAACAGAAGCAAATTAAATTTATTTTTATTGTGCAAAAAGTACGTACGTAAATAGAGAAATTTAGAAAATCTATGTTTTTTTCATTTTTTATACCTTTGAAACTGCATTATGTAATGCCGAGTAACTACTTGTCGCATAATGTAGTTAGATATACATAAATAAGGAAGTTGTGAAGTAGCAGCTGTGCAAAGTGTACACCTTTTCTTTCGCTTGGTAAGGGCATGGACCGATGGAGGCTCAGTGTTCCTCGGAGGGCTAAGCGTGGATGATGCTAGCGGTAAATTATACGGTACCTTTTCTGCTCACGCTGCAAAGAGTGCGCAACGAGTCGCAATCCTTCTACACGCTTATAGTAATATTATAGCGCCGGTATAATATTATTAATTAATCTCATTAACCGACGTAGATCGCACGGTTAAT